GGGTTGAATTGTTGCCGCCTGTGCACCTGTAGCTTGAACATGATGTGAATGATGAACACTAAAACTGACTCCTCGCCGCCCGCTGGCTCGTTCACAGCGTCAAGACCAGGTTGGTTCACCCTTAGCCATGGTTTGCAATTGCAATGGGCCTTCCTGGGGCCTCAAAAGGGGGTGCCGTACAGGGCTTAGGGGGCCCATTCATGTTCTGGTGAATTCCATTCACATCATTGTCATCCAGGGGATTTAGCTCAGTGGTAGAGCGTGCGCTTCGCATGCGTGAGGTCATGGGATCGATCCCCATAATCTCCAGTCATCCGTTTTGCGGCCAAACCAAAGACATGGTTCATCCTTTTGCCGCCCTAGCCTTGTATCGTACGTAAAAGCAACAATAAATGGGAGAGAGACAGCAATTAAAACCTTATGTATGTAGGTGCTGCATGCATGCCACTGTTCTTTAACGCACGGATGACCATGTCCGCATGTCCGCCCGACGGAGGTTATGGTGCTTGATTGGACACAGAGCGGGCTAGCCATGCGTGGATCCCAGCAGCGGACAACCATATGTTGGTGCGGCACGCTTGCTCCTCTTCTGGCCGCGGGGCCTGGTTGACATGCCCTGTTGACGGCTCGTGCGTGCATTTTGTCGGCAAGAAGAGCTTTCTTGCCTTTTGTTAAGAAAAGTAGCCGCTTTCTTGCCTTGTGTGTATGTTTGGGATAGGAGTTGTCGCTTTATGCTTCAGTGTGTTGTTTGTTCGCGGTCTGGTTAGTTGGTGTGGCGTATAACAGCCGTCAGTGCTCTTAGGCCGTGCGGCCCCCGGGCTCGGGGCTACCCTGCTCTGCTTGCAACATATGCAGGCATGTAGGACGGCAGTTGTTGCCCTTGCTTGTATGCACACCTGTGCGTTGCCATACAATGCTACTGATTGGTCGGTCGATGGTCTTACCAGGAAGGCCTAGCCTGCTCTGGCCTGTGACTGACCTGATGGATTAGACAGCGGCCATGGGATAGTCCGCACCCCAGCGGCCATAGATGGCCAAGCCAACGATCGATAGGGCGGCACAACACGGTAGGCCCTTGCCAGATAAATTATGTGTACTGTATTGTAGCTACTATGACCCCCCTAATGGCAGCAGCACCGTCAACACACTACGGCTTAGCCACGAAGACGCCACCGTCATCCGTCTACAGCGACAGGAGGTGACAGGGGCAGGCATGCATGTCATTGCCGCATCCTCACCCACTCGCGTGATCACGCAGCTACACTTGCTGCATTCATGATCATCCTGCTGGGCAAGGGTAACGAAATAAAACGCCACCTTCCCATCCATTGCCCACACCCTTCATGGTGATTTGGGTACGGCTCTGAAAAGGTATGCCGCCGTGCGAGGATGGGAATCTCGGATACCTTTCCGCTGATATGCGGTACAGCTGAAGTAAGTAAGGCTGCTATCTGCCATGAGTCCGGAACGGCAGCAGGCATCTGGGTGTTGTGGGCGCTTTGTTGAGGAGGTCAGCTTGCGGTTGAAGGTGTCACCTTAGCTTTGATGCTGTATAGATTGGGAGTGACATGCGTGCGGTCTCATGTCCTATCGTTGGAAGCTGTGTTGATTGGCAGGTGCACACACGCACGCGCTACCACTAAATAACCTTTACAGAAGCCACTCCACCCATTGAGCTGCTGGGGGAGGGGGTGCTTACTTCTTGTGGCGCGCCCGGCACGCTGGTAACATTCTCACATCTTTCACGGGTGGGGAAGTACTTAATTGTTAGTTCGGTGTTCCTCTGTACATCGGGGTACACATCCCCAGGAGGGTTGAATTGTTGCCGCCTGTGCACCTGTAGCTTGAACATGATGTGAATGATGAACACTAAAACTGACTCCTCGCCGCCCGCTGGCTCGTTCACAGCGTCAAGACCAGGTTGGTTCACCCTTAGCCATGGTTTGCAATTGCAATGGGCCTTCCTGGGGCCTCAAAAGGGGGTGCCGTACAGGGCTTAGGGGGCCCATCGCCGGAGCAATGTAGCGACGTCGTAGGGCGACATCGTAGACGGAGTCCGGAGCTAGCGAAGTTAGCGTAGGAAAGGGGTAAATAGGGAGGGGGGGGTTCGTGTAACATTTTTTTGGCAACGTGCATGCTGACACCCTCAGCCCTCGGCTGAGGGGGGCTGACGTCGACAGCTCGGCTAGATGTGACACCCCTGTTCGATTCCTGCCGGGAGCAGATTCCTTCTTCCTGCCCGCCTTCGCCCGCCTTTTGCCGCTTTGCTGCCGCTTGCCGCCTTCTAGCACCTGCGCCTACAGGGCTATCAGATGCAACCGCCCGCCCCCCAAGCCTTGCAGCCGCCGCCAAACGGGAACAGGGCTAGGGGGGAAGGGCCTAGGGAGGAAGCCCCTAGGGTTGGCGCAGTTTCGCTTAGGAAGAAGCTGGGCTGCCGCCATAAAGGTATTATTAGCCTACATAGAACCTGCATGAATAACCCGCAACCGGCGCCTGAAAATGCTGCGGCGCCAGGAAAATATGGCCTCCTGATGGCAAGCCAAATTTCCGAACTTCTTCCCCCAACTTCCTCACCAGGCCGCGCTTTGCAGAACTAATCATACCTGGGTTCATGCCGTTCAGCACGGTAGCGTAAAACAACATTACCTCACAAACGAAAAATCGCAACTCCCCCTAGCACCTTCCGAGCCGTGCAAGCCCCTACCCCCTACCCCCCTAGCCCCCTTCCGAGCCGTGCAAGCCCCTAGCCCCTACCCCCCTACCCCCCTTCCGAGCCGTGCAAGCCCCTAGCCCCTACCCCGCTAGCCCGGCTTCCGAGCCGTGCAAGCCCCTAGCCCCTTCCCCGCTAACCCCCTTCCTAACCATGCATGCAAGTCCCTACCTCGTACACCCCGGGCCTCCTTTCCAAGCTTCCTCTGGGCGGCGGAGGCCTCTGGTTCGACAACACGCCCTAGGCTTGCCGTCCATTCCAATAGGAGAAGACTCAAGTGGCACTGCCGCTGCGCTGCTGCCTGCGGACCCGTGGGTCACCCTGCCCGTAACTCAAACAAGGCCGGCCCAGACTCGAATTCGCGTGCCCTCCCGCCGCACTTCGGGGCTTCCCGCAACTCGCCGCCCTGACATGCGGCGCCAGCATCCCAGCAGCACCCGCGGCCGCCTGGGAGGCCCCCGACGGGGTGGGCCGAGACAAGGAGGTCGCCAGCTGGTGGGCTCTGCCGCCGTGTGGCCAGGGACCCCCTGGGGTGGGGCCGCTGTGCTGCTGGCGGGCCAGCCGCCGGGCCGACGAGGCCGATGACCCCCTGGTCGCCCTGTCAGCGAAGGAGGGCTGGGGGCGGGCCTTCGCGGCCTGGGGCAACGCGCCCGCGGGCAACTGGCACTGGGCCCTGGGCCTGAGGCGCCTGCGCCTGGCGGTGGCCAGCGCCGCCGGCAGCCCCGAGGGGAGCCACCGAGCCACGGCAGGCGCGCCACTGCCTCGGAGTGCCGGCCGCCCGTGCGTGCATGCTCTACGCCGGGGCTGGGGTGCAGGTGGCCGACGTGCACGCCCGGCTGGCCGCCGCGCTGATGTGCCAGGCGGCGGCGGCGGCTGGGAGCGCGGCGACCTGCCTGTCCGGCCACTGGCGGACCACCGCCAGCAACCCCTGCAACACTGGCAGCACCAGGGCAGCCATCCCTGCACCTGCCCCCTACACTACTTACAGCTGCATTACTGCACCCTCCTATTTACTTTCCGGCGGGCGGGGCAACACCACAACGGCCTCCAAGCTTCCTCTGGGCGGCGGAGGCCTCTGGTTGGACAACACGCCCTAGGCTTGCCGTCCATTCCAATAAGAGAAGCCTCAAGTGCCACTGCCGCTGCGCTGCTGCCTGCGGACCCGTGGGTCACCCTGCCCGTAACTCCAACAAGGCCGGCCCAGCCTCGAATTCGCGTGCCCTCCCGCCGCACTTCGGGGCTTCCCGCAACTCGCCGCCCTGACATGCAGCGCCAGCATGCCAGCAGCACCCGCGGCCGCCTGGGAGGCCCCCGACGGGGTGGGCCGAGACAAGGAGGTCGCCGGCTGGTGGGCTCTGCCACCGTGTGGCCAGGGGCCCCCTGGGATGGGGCCGCTGTGCTGCTGGCGGGCCAGCCGCCGGGCCGACGAGGCCGATGACCCCCTGGTCGCCCTGTCAGCGGAGGAGGGCTGGGGGCGGGCCTTCGCGGCCTGGGGCAAGGCGCCCGCGGGCAACTGGCACTGGGCCTTGGGCCTGAGGCGCCTGCGCCTGGCGGTGGCCAGCGCCGCCAGCAGCCCCGAGGGGAGCAACCTCGCGGCCGCCTGCTGCATGCCCCCGTGGTACGACCGCGCCACGTTCCAGCCCAGGAGGAGGCCCGGGCCGCCGCCACCCCCCACTGCCCTCGCCCGAGCCCGGAGCCCCAGGGGGCCGCCGCGGCGCTGTGGGCGCCGGGCCTGCGGGCAGCGGCGGGGCCTCGCGGCCGCCTGCTGCATGCACCCGTGGTACGACAGCGACATGTTCGAGCCCACCGAGCCACGGCAGGCGCGGCACTGCCTCGGAGTGCCGGCCGCCCGTGCCTGCATGCTCTACGCCGGGGCTGGGGTGCAGGTGGCCGACGTGCACACCCGGCTGGCCTCCGCCGTGCTGACGTGCCAGGGGGCGGCGGCGGCTGGAAGCGCGGCGTGACCTGCCTGTCCGGCCACTGTACCACCACCGTCAGCAACCCCAGCAACACTGGCAGCACCAGGCCATCTCCGCACCCCCTTGCCGCAGGCCGCAACACCCTCAATCCTCCCTTCCCCCTCGGCAGCCTTTACTGCCTCCACGGATTGTACAACACCGACTGGACGCTCCACGCCATGCAAGCCTGGCGTGCGTATCTGCCAAATGACCTCGCTCGCTCCTCAACTAGGTGGACGTGTTGCGTCCATGCGTCATACACGCTGCCGTACAACATCCCTGCCCCTGCCCCCTACACTACTTACAGCTGCATTACTGCACCTGTAACGTGGCGCGAACTGACTTAGACGAAGACGAGAGAAGGCGCCACTTAAGGCGCAGTCCGAAAAGATGGTGTTGAAAAACACCGGGGAGCCAGAGGCTATATGCAGTCGGCGTAGACAGTGATAATGGTCTCGGAGCCAGTCGTATCAGATCACGCGGGCCCAGTGTACCGATGTACCTGGCCGCACATGAATAATCATAGCTCAGGAATTACCTTGAGTTACGTTAACTATCCGGTACACACTGATACTCGGAAGTAATGACATGTAATGATCATGACTGATAGCAATTACGGTCCGGGACTTTGATTCCTCTGTTTTGCCTTATCGGAATTTCTTAAGTCCGATTCTTATCGTTACATTCCTCCCCACCTAGAGCGAGAGTCCCTGCGAGCTTATGTTTGCTCCTTGTTGGCACGTCGCTCCGTCGTACCGTGCTATTGACGTGTACGTTTTGATGGCTTCCCCTCGGCTGTGGCTGCCACACGTTTTTGCTGTGCTGGTCCATCAGCTCGTGTTTTCCGCACCTGTGTAGCATGGGTGGCCCAATACTCGTCTATTGCTGCTTCTGTGATGTTGAGTTCGGGCTCCCAGCTGTTGTGCTCTGGTCCGTAGCCTTCCCATGCAACAAGATACTCACGTCGTGTTTTCCTGCCATGCTTAATGTCTCGGTGGGCTAGTAGTCTGCTGACGGCCCAGTAGGCGCCGTCCTCCAGCACTGCCACGGGACCAGCCGGCGTGCGTCCTGTGCCTTCTTTGAAGGGCTTGATGAGGGACACATGGAATACGTTGTGGCACTTGTATGATGGTGGTAGGTCTAGCTTGACCGCGACGGGTCCTATGCGCTCTAGTATAGTGAAGGGTCCTATCCAAAGTGGTAGCAGTTTGGTTGTACCAGGGTGCCGTAGCCGAATGTTCTTCGTGCTTAACAGTACCTTCTGTCCCTTCTTGAATTGAGCGTCACGGCGAGCTGTGTCGGCGTATTTCTTGTATCGGTCCTGCGCTTTGGCAATGAACCGTTTGGCGATTTCCAACTGCTCTTTCATGTCCGTACAGAATCGTGCTGCTGCCGGCACGGGGCTGTTCTCCATGCCTAGCAATGTGGGTAGGCGTGGTGTACGGCAGTAGTTTAGTTGGAAAGGTGTTGCCTTGATGGACTCTTGGTATGTATTGTTGATTGCAAACTCGGCTAAGGAGAGCTTGACATCCCAATCAGTTTGCGCTGGATTTACGTAGTTGCGTAGGATTTCCTGCAACAAGCGATGCATTCTTTCCGTTTGCCCATCCGTTTGTGGGTGGTAAGCGGTTGATAGCTTTCGTTCGGTACCAGTGAGGCGCAGTAGCTCAGTCCAGAATTTGCTAATGAACTGGGGTCCACGATCCGAAACCACTTCTTCCGGGAATCCATGGTGGCGGAAGACATTATCGAGGTATAGCTGGGCTAAGTCTTCAGCTGTCACATCTTCGGTTGTGGGAGCGACCCGACACATCTTTGTAAGACGATCAACGAAGGTGACTATGGTATCGTACCCCGCCGTGGTTTTTGGCAGGTGTGTGATGAAGTCCATTGACACACTCCCCCATGCGGCAGTAGGAATGGGCAATGGTTGTAGCAACCCTGCGGGCTTCTCATGCGGTGGTTTATTCCGCTGGCATAGCTCGCATGCAGAGACATGGCGTCCCACGTCTACTGTCATTCCAGGCCACCAGAACTCCCTGCGGCAGAGTTCCAAAGTGCGGGTTATTCCGCGGTGTCCTGCATAAGGTGAGCTGTGCAGCTCCCTTATGATTCGGTTGCGTAGGTCATTGTGTTCCGGAACCACAATCAGACCACCACGTCGGTAGTAACCGTCTTCATCATGTACGATTCCCATTTTTGTACGGAAGCGTTGGACTGCAAGTGACTCGTCCGCTTCGTATCCCTCGAGAATGAGTTTCGGCAAATCTGATGATACTGTGTACCTTGCTTGCACTTGTGCAGCTAGAGCTGTAGAATGCATTCTGCTCAATGGATCAGCAACATTTATCCGACCTGGCCTGTACTCCCATTTGTAATTATATCGGGCAAGGTATTCCATCCAGCGCATTTGGCGTCTGGAGAGTTTGGACAGGCTTTTCTGTGTGTCGAGGAATGTGTTTGGGTTGTGATCCGTTACCAGCGTAATTTGTGGTCCTTCAAGGTAGCAACGCCATTGCTTAAGAGCATTTATGACGCCAAGAAGCTCTTGCTCCGTCGTTGTGTAATTGCGTTCTGCTGGACTAAACTTTGCGCTTGTGTATGCGACTGGTTGTCCATCTTGCATTAAAACTGCTCCTGTGCCATGCACGGAAGCATCGCTAATGACTTCAAATGGTTTCTTAATGTCTGGGAATTTTAAAATAGGTGCATTGGTGAGAGCGTGTTTTACGCCATCAAATGCGTCTTGTTGCTCCTTCTCCCAGACCCATGGTTCTGTTGAACCTGTGAGTTTGGTGAGGGCTGCAACTAATGATGAGTATCCTTGGATGAACTTCCTAAAGTAGTTTGCTAACCCAAGGAAACCTCGTAGGCTTGATACGTCCTTGGGTTTAGGCCACTCTCGGACAACCTTGACTTTGCTGTCGTCCACTTGCAAACCGTCCTTGCTGACGACCATTCCTAGGAATTTTAATTCCTGGCGGTTAAACTCGCATTTGCTGAGTTTTGCTTGCAGTTTTTCCTTCCGAAGTAGTTCAAGGACTATCCGAAGGTGCTCTTTGTGCTCTTCGGGCGTTTTGCTGAAAACTATAATGTCGTCTAGATATACTAGTACGAACTTCCCAATGTACGGTTGGAACACCGTGTTCATTACTGCTTGGAACGTCGCTGGCGCGTTTGCTAGTCCCATGCTTAGTACTAAGAACTCGTAATGACCACAGGGTGTGCGGAAAGCCGTTTTGTAGCGGTCTTCCTCGCCTATCCGTATTTGATGATAGCCTGACTGGAGGTCGATTGATGAGAATATGGTTGCGCCCTGAAGCGCATCGAATAGGTCTTCAGGGTTGGGAATGGGGTAACGGTTCTTTATGGTAGCCTTATTAAGCTGCCTGTAGTCTATGCACATCCGTAGCCCGCCATCCTTCTTTGCTGCGAAGAGAACGGGGGCACCCCAGGGCGATGTTGATGGCTGTATTAGACCTTTCTTTAATAGGTCTTCTACTTGCCGTTTGACCTCTTCTTGTTCAGGCGGCGACATGCGGTACATTCGTGAGAAGAATGGCTTTGTTCCCGGCTCTAAGTCGATTGTATGCCGTATGTTACGGTCTTGTGGTAGGCCGCTAATTGGTTCAAAGACGTCTTTGTACTCATCCAGTAAAACCTGCATGTCTGCTTGTGGTATCTTATCTTGTGAAAGTTCGTTGAGTGCGTCTGCGTTTAACTCAACCGTCGCAACGCATGCTTGTGCTTGAGGTGCCGTTTCTGACCCATGGGTCACTTCTGCAAGGAGTGGGTTGTTTTCCTTTGCTTCGCGCACCAAGACTAAGCATCCGGGTGTGTTCTTCTTTATGGCCCTTCGCGCTGCGCTGGCTGACATCAAGTCTGGCGTTGTTTTGGTCGCCAGTAGTGCACAGACACGCTGTATGGCGATTATGCCTGCGTTTGTTTCCTCCCCACCTGATCCGGACTTACCCTTGCGTGAATCCGCTATTAGTTGGTAAGTTTTACGGGATTGGCCTGCTGGTGAGGTGAGTGTGCATGTCATGGCTGGGATATCCAGAATCACGCCATTGCTCTCCATCCAATCCATGCCAAGTATGACATCTACACCTGGTAGTAAGGTAGGCATTACCAAGGCCTTAATTGTGTCAAAGTAGCGTTGGATATGGATTGGTATCCGGACTTGCCCTAGTATGGGTACTTGCCGGTTATCGGCTACCTCCACATTCAGTGTCCCTACGTTTTGTGGTTCGCATCCAGCTGGCAGGGCGGACTGGTGGATGATAGTATGTGATGCACCTGTGTCAATGAGAGCTGTGACTTGCTTTTTCCCGACGGTGCATGTGAAAAGCAATGCGTTGTCTGGGTTGATTACCCTAAGCTGCGGCTGTGTTGGCGGGTCGTACCAGACTTGTAGTGGCATAGGCAACCCGTCCAAGTACTTTCTCGTGCCTTCTTTAGTGGTGACCGTGAATAGCTGAGTACGCGGTTCATACTCGTGCAGCAAGGTCATCCCCTTAGTCAGCCTTTTGTGCACTTGAGATCTGGGGAAAATGAATACCGCACTGGTGTTGTATGGGCTGGTTGCTTTGCAGCGCTGGTAATGTTTGACCCATATGGCTGCTTGCTCAAATGGTGGGCAGATCCAAACGTGATGCCCTGCTATGTTGTGTTTGAAGAAGGAATTGCGGGGTGTGGCATATGTGGAGCAGTGAGCATCGGTGCCTTCATCGTTACAAGCCGCGTCAAAACTGAATTCCCGTCCGGTCAATGCCTGGATACGCAAGAATTCTGCACGGCTAAACATGCGGTCAGGTGTTGCAAATCCCTGACCCGTACGACGGCAGTTAGCTCGCTGCCCACAGGTTGGCGCAGCGGAGCTACCCCCTAAGCCTACACACTGCGCATCCCCCTACTTCGGATCCGTGGCGTTCCTGTTGTGCTTCTTGCAGTGGGCGTACATGACGAGCTCCTCGTTGTCGCAGAGGTAGCAGATGCCCTTGTTCTTGAGGTAGGCCTTGGCCGCTGGCGGCAGCTCATTCTCGGCCTTAGGGGACTTCTTGCGCTTGGAGGGTCCCGCTGCCGCCGCGTCATCGCTGTCCATACGATCCGGCCGGCTGCTTTTCTTGCCCTTGACCTCCTGCAGGATCTGGGATTTGCGGGCGTGGCGGAGGGAGCGGTATTGCTTAGAGCGTGAGGTATGCTTGCCGTACTTGGTATTTTTGCTGTGCTTGTAGCGGTTGGTTCTGATAGCGGCTACGTGCGCATCCTCATCGCTTTCTTCCTCGCTTTCGCTGTCACTCTCACTGCTCGATGCACTTGCGGAGGGTGCGTGCGGTACTGACGCTACGGCAATGTTTGCTGCTGCGGTCGTGTTTTTCGCGATTTGCATGGCTAGCTCTGCCGCGTATGCAGACTCAATTGCCGACGCTAGGGTTGTGTGTTGCTTTTTGTCTTTGTCCGTGGCCGAGGCGCGTGCTAGGCCTGGCTGCATGTTTTTGAAGAACCAGAAAACCCTTTCTGACTCAGGCATGTCGGCCGCATCCAGGAATATTGTAGTGATTTCCTGGATGTACTGTGCGAGGTTCATGCCCGGGGTTTGCTTGGCTTCGCCTCTGCTAAGGCGTTCGCGTGCTTCTATGGGGTCGTGCTTCAGGGTAATGTCACCGAACGCGCGGCGGAATTCTTCTGCGAATGCCTTGCCGTCTAGGGGTGTGTTCTTTTGAGCGTAGTAGCTCTGCAGGCTATCGTACCACTTAAGCGCGCGCCCTTGCAGGAAGAACTTAAAGTTGGAAACTGAGGCCATCCCCGTTAGGCGCATGTACTCTACGACCATGTTGTACCAAACCTCCCTATCGTCAATGCCCTTGTCGGTCTTTGGGTCACCGCTAAAGGTAGGGGGTTTACGCAGATGGCGTGCGTACGCTGCCGGATAGCTCACCTGTTCCAGCGTGTTGTTCATGCTGTTCAGCTGGCCCTGCATGGCCATGGCCATGCTGTTGGTGCCGCCGGACAGGTGCCCGATGCTGTTGAGGTTGTTGGCCATCGTGCCGAGCTGTCCGTTCAGCTGAACCAACATGTTGTTGGCGGTGGTCACTTGCTGGCTCACGTTGCGAACGTCATGCTGGATGTTGTTCGCGGTGATGTTGCCCATGTTAATGCGCCCCCGCAAATGCTCCTCGGTGCGGTTGATCGCCTCCAGCACTGGCAACACCGGCTGTGCTTGCGGTGGCTGCTGCTGGCGAGCGCGCTGCCCTGCGGCGTGCGGTGAGGTGGCCACTTGGGCTCCCATGGCATCGCCGGTCTGAGGGTCAAGGGGTTGTATGGGGGGTCGGGGTACACCATTGTTGTTAGCTGGCAGAGTTGTATTGGTTGTTTGCTCTTGCCGTGCGGTTGGTGCTTGTGTTGCTGGCGGTTCATTTGGCGCATCCGAATGCATGCCCGGAGTGCGCGTCGGCCTAGCCAGTCTGTGCTGCAACTCGTTGATCAAGTTGCGCATACGTGAGGAATAATTGTGTGTTTGTGCCCGTGTGGTGTCTTGGTTGGTTGCTTCGCGGGTTCCGGTTCCATCAGTGGAGCCATCATCGACCGCAGCACCACCAGAGCTCCCATCATTGGGGTTGGTTTGTTCACGAGCATTGTCGCTACTAGTTGATGCGTTTGCATTTTGGTTGTGGCCTAGAGTGTTCTGGATGAATGCGTCCAGTCGCAATAGGGTCCTGAAGGCAGCACGTGGGGAAAGGGAAAGCATATGCTGATGAAAACTTACTTCGTTTGCCTCGGGCTCGCCCAGTGAGGCAGCGCTGAGCATGGGGTCCTCCTCGCGTTCGCCATGTGCAGTCACACCGGCAGCGGCAGCAGCAGCGGCAGCGGCCGCGCGCGCAGCGTCCTCGGCGGACATCTATGCTAAGCGCTACCTAAAGAGAGAGAAGCTAGACCGGAGAGGTCGCTAATTGGTTCCAGCTGGCAATTCGCACCACTGTAACGTGGCGCGAACTGACTTAGACGAAGACGAGAGAAGGCGCCACTTAAGGCGCAGTCTGAAAAGATGGTGTTGAAAAACACCGGGGAGCCAGAGGCTATATGCAGTCGGCGTAGACAGTGATAATGGTCTCGGAGCCAGTCGTATCAGATCACGCGGGCCCAGTGTACCGATGTACCTGGCCGCACATGAATAATCATAGCTCAGGAATTACCTTGAGTTACGTTAACTATCCGGTACACACTGATACTCGGAAGTAATGACATGTAATGATCATGACTGATAGCAATTACGGTCCGGGACTTTGATTCCTCTGTTTTGCCTTATCGGAATTTCTTAAGTCCGATTCTTATCGTTACAGCACCCTCCTATTTACTTCCTGGCGGGCGGGCGGATGGCAGCACCGCTGCCTTCCATAACACCTTCCCACCGGGCAACGCTTAGTCCGCCCTGCCCCCTACCCCCAAACCGCGCTACTCCCTTCCCCCTACCCCCTACCCCCGCCTTACCCCCTACCCCCTGGCCCCCCCCTACCCCCTACCCCTTGGCCCCCCCCTACCCCCTACCCCCGCCTTACCCCCTACCCCCTGGCCCTTGGCCCCCCCCTACCCCCTAGCCCTGGGCCCCCCCTACCCCCTAACCCTGGGCCCCCCTACCCCCTGGCCCCTGCCCCCCCACCCCCCACCCCCTACCCCCTACCCTACCCCCCCCCCACCACAGGGTGTCAGCGCCCTTCGGGCCGAAGGCCCAGCTTGTAGCGAGTATAACGCTTCAAAAAATCGCGATTGGCGCGGGCGACCCGGGTTCGAACCCCGTCGACTGCAAAATGACATTTTTTGTTTTTCGCGCATTAGGCCAAATCGCCACGGATCGTAATTCAGCAAGACATTTTACCTCAAAAATGGAATGTTAGTATGCTCAAACACGACTTGGGCTCACGCACCAGGCTGCGACGTGCGGCTGGAGGGGGGGGGCTTCGCCCCCCCCCCCTAACCCCCCCCCATTCTACTGTCCAACTGACGTGCGCAGCCCGGCTGAAACGATGGTGCAACTTGTGCAGCCCTGCTTATTGACAAGAGAGACGATGGTGCTTTAGCGTGCGTGCGTGCGGCTTGTACGTCATAGTGAATTTCTTGGCGACAAGCTCATACACAAACCCCCCCTCTTCTAGCGCCCAACTTACGTGCGCAGCCCGGCTTATTGGCAAGAGAGAAGATGGTACCGTACAATGGGGGGGGGGTAGGGGGGGGGGGGCGAAGCCCTACCCCCCTTCCAGCCGCACGTTGCAGCCAACTCGTGTATGAACAGAATAACATTCAACTTCCCCCCCCCTACTGTCCAACTTACGTGCGCAGCCCAAATTATTGTCAAGAAAGATGATGGTGCTTTAGCGTGCGTGTGTGTGGCTTGTACGTCATAGCGGATCAGTTGGCGACAAGCTCATATACAAGTTGGGCGCACATACCAGGCCGTCACGTGCGGCTGGAAAGGGGGTGGGTGAGCTTGACGACATGGCTCTCAATGCGTAAGTGCGGCTGTTGCGTCACATCAAAACGAATCGCAAGTTTCGACTGTTGCTTCGCCCTCCGTGGCTGGGCAACACCGCGATACACGGAATGCCTGGGGTTGTGGGCTGCAGTAGTGCAAGGGTATAAGTAAAAGGAATAGACTCCTCGCTTTTTCACGGCTTAACGGTACCAAAGAAACAAAACTCGCAGAAATATCGTAGCTTGTTGTGCGGTTGGCATAACCTGTCAAATAATGTCTACCTAAAAGACGACGTCCAGTGTCGCTTTTCTGGTAGGGCATCCTCACTTCTCGGAAGTGAAAGTTGCGTTTAGCCCTTTTACTCCAGCGACTGTAATGGTATGCCAACAGGAGAGAATGGTTCACGTCAGAGTTAGGTTCAGAATACTGAACGCCAAATCGGACCTCACTACCGGTACATAGAAATGAGATTGTTCTTGCAACAACCAGAATACCTGCATAGAAACCAAGGCGTTTTACATAGGATTTACGAAGTCGAACATGAACTGGAGTAACGTAGGAGGCACAAGCCGAAGAGCAACACATTGATTGGCATGACTTTCAGTAACATGTCATTTGCACATAAACACCAGTAAGGAAGCTTGAAGAGACGAAAGTGGCGGGCTCACTTGTGGCAGGCAATGGTCATGCCTGACATAGGCGCCACGGCATTGGGTCGCACCACGTGAAGCCATTAACGGAGGAAATATCTGTAGTCGAGGTTTACCTGCTACTATTGCATACACTAGCCTCTAGTTTTTACATTCATGGAGTCCTGTACTGCGTCACCCGAGTTACGCCGTACAAACTCAACCTACCGCCTCGAGCAATCCACCAAAGAAGCATTACAGAGGTCTACTAACTTCTTACATCTTTAGTTGCACGCAAGTTGCCTCTGAACCTAACGGCAAAAAATGAACCCCTCTTACGCTGGCCTGTAATATACGCAAGCAACCTATAGAAGTACTTTACATAACGTTATTGGTTATGGATATTCAGTCTTCATCGTTCCAATCGTGTGTTACTCGTTTTCGCAACGCCGCTTCTAAGGCTCAGGCGACGCTGATACAGTATAAGAGGGATAAAAGCTTGGTCTGTGTTGAGTTATATCGCACAGTAGCTGTCATCTCACTTCAGAGGAGGGAAGCGACGCTCCATTTCGAGGGCTGGCAGGCAAATGTTCCTGACGATGCCAGCCCGAGCGCCCTATACAACATGAAATTTAAGACAGTGGACGACAAGGCAAGATGTGTGCTGGACTGCAGCACTGCGCGTGTCAGTTGTGGCTTTGACCGGATGGTGCCGACAAGGAGCATTCATGCTGTACAGGAATGCTCCTTGTTGGGGCTCTTAGGATCCCAAGTCAGCTCTCTGAGCTCGTTCAGGTCGTTTCTTCACAAGGGCGGTGACGTGTTTGTGGATAACTACTTGGAGGAGAAGGAGATGCGTGCTCCAGCAGCTCAACTCCTCTTTGTTAGCTACCTTGTAGAGCTGACAAGGCCTAAGGGCCACGAGATAGGCGCTGTAGGCGACTATTTCTGGTTGCAGAAGCCCTGGCTCAAGAAGAAGAAGGTGAGCTAAGAATACCTGTGCAAGCGTTGCAGCCAAAGCACTTGGCACAAGGGTGTATGCTGAAACTGTATGCTTGCTTTCAGGAGCTAGAGGGTGTGCTCGCAGCAGGCAACAACACAGCTCAGGTTGTCAGTAGTGTCCTGAACAGACGCTTCACTCCCACGGTGTCATCAGCGCATCGGGCACAAGATTTGAAAGGTGCATCCAGCAGCATGCATGGTGCAGCAACGGCACCCTCCTCGCAAACAGTGCCTTGGCAGGTTTCTGGCCATGATACCTTGCCCATTCTGCATGCAGCAGCAAGCTCACAGCAGTGTACAGCCGATCTTAGTCGCTGCACGAGCCCAGTCCTCCAGGTGAGCATGCATTGCAAAGTATCCCTTCCACCCACTGTAGGCATGGGCATCTAGGTACGGCCCTTTTCACGCCCCCTTAGACCGTGCTTACAACTGCCTTTGAGACCGACTGGGGTGCTGGAAACATGTATCATGGCACGGTCGACGCGGCTGCGGGTACTATATTGACAATTGGGGTGATGCTGAAGGGAAGTATGCGCCCTGTACTCGAGCTAAGACGCCAGAGCATGTACTCTGCCAGAGCTAATCCGTTACTAGTGTTGTTCGACATTGTAGCTATTGACACTCCAAACCTTGCAGGAAGATGCGAATATAAGCTTATGGGATATGGAGCCCAATGAGGACTCCCTGGTCTCATTGGAGGTGAATGCACTTCCGCTGGTGTAGCAGCCTTGCCTCCGCCGCTCTCTCCCGCCCATTCCCGCACCCCACTTCCATGCATGCAGGCCTCCCTTCGCGCTGCCGAGCCGGGCGGCGGCGGAACTGAACGGAGCGGCGCCGACCACCGGCCCCCCAGCAGGAGACCCAGCTCTGAGGTGGGCATGCTGATGTCGCAACCCTTTCACCCTTCTGCGGTGCAGAATTTGAGAATTGCTGTCCGCGGCCGAATGAGGTCCGATCCATCAGTGTGAACCCCTCCCCGCCCCAAACCGCGCTTACTTTGCCATTCACAAACACTGCTGCCCCGCCTCGGCTTCCGCCACGGCATCCGCCCCTCTCCCCCGCCCAATCCCGCACTCAGCTTCCATGCATGCAGGCCTCCCTTCACGATGCCGAGCCGGGCGGCAGTGGAACTGAACGGCGCGGCGCCAATTACAGGTTCCCCAGCAGGAGCCCCAGCTCTGAGGTGAGCATGCTGGTGTCGCAGCCATTGCAACCTTCTTCGGTGCGGCGTCTTTAGGATTGCTGGCCGCGGCCGAAGGGGGGTTCTAACCATCAGTGTGCACCCCTCCCCGTCTCCAAACGCGCTTACTTTGCCATTCAGAAACGCTGCCGCCCCGCCACGGCCTCCGCCCCTCTCCCCCGCCCAAACCCGCGCTCCGCTTCCATGCATGCAGGCCTCTCTTCGCGCTGCCGAGCGAAGAGAGGCAATTTGAGAATTGCTGGCCCCGAACGAAGGAAAGTCCTAACCATTAGTGAGCGTCCCTCCCCGCCCCAAAACGCACTTACTTTGCCATCTAAAAACGCTGCCGCCCCGCCTCGGGCCCCGCCCCTCCCCGCCCAATACCGCACTCCGCTTCCATGCATGCAGGCTTCCCTTCGCGCTGCCGAGCCGGGCGGCAGTGGAACCGAGAGGAGCGGCGCCGACCACCGGTCCCCCAGCAGGATACCTATCTCTGAGGTGAGCGTGCTGGAGTCGCAGCCATTGTAAACTTCTACGGTGCAACATCTTGTCTATTGCTGGCCGCGGCTGAAGGACAGTCCTTTCCATCCGTGTGCACCCCTCCCAGCCCCAAAACGCGCTTACTTAGCCATTTACAAACGCTGCCACCCCGCTCCGGCCTCCGCCACGGCATCTGCTCCTCTCCCCCGCCCAAACCCGCACTCCGCTTCCATGCATGCAGGCCTCCCTTCGCGATGCCGAGCCGGGTGGCAGTGGAAATGAACGGCGCGGCGCCGATTACAGGTTCCCCGGCAGGAGCCCCAGCTCTGAGGTGAGCATGCTGGTGTCGCAGCCATTGCAACCTTCTTCGGTGCAGCATCTTGCCTATCTCTGGCCGCGGCCAAAGGAGGGTCCTAATCATCAGTGTGCACACCTCCCCGCCCCAAAACGCGCTTACTTTGCCATTTACAAACGCTGTCGCCCCGCTCCGGCCTCCGCCACGGCATCCATTTGAGAATTGCTGCCCGCGGCCGAAGGAGGTCCAATTCATCAGTGTGAACCCCTCCCCGCCCCAAACCGCGCTTACTTTGCCATTTACAAACGCTGCTGCCCCGCCTCGGCCTCCGCCACGGCATCCGCCCCTCTCCCCCGCCCAATCCCGAACTCCGCTTCCATGCATGCAGTCCTTCCTTCGCGATGCCGAGCCGGGCGGCAGTGGAACTGAACGGCGCGGCGCCGATTACAGGTTCCCTAGCAGGAGCCCCAGCTCTGAGGTGAGCATGCTGGTGTCGCAGCCATTGCAACCTTCTTCTGTGCGGCATCTTGAGGATTGCTGGCCGCGGCCGAGTGGGGTCCTAACCATCAGTGTGCACCCCTCCCCGTCCCCAAACGCGCTTACTTTGCCATTTACAAACGCTGCCGCCCCGCTCCGGCCTCCGCCACGGCATCCGCCCCTCTCCCCCGCCCAAACCCGCGCTTCCCTCCATGCATGCGGGCCTCGCTCCCTTAGCGATGCCGCGCCGGACCGCTGTGGAACCGAACGGAGCGGAGCCCAAGCTGTCCCCGACGAGGAGCCCAAGCTCTGAGGTGAGAAAGCTGGTGTCGCAACCCTCGCACCCTTCTGCGGTGCAACATCTTGAGTATTGCTGGCCGCGGCAGAAGGAGGGTCCTAACCATCCGTGTGCGCCCCTCCCCGCCCCAGCACGCACTTACTTTGCCATTTACAAACGCTGCCGCCCCCCCCCCCCCCACCCCCCCGGCATCCGCCCCTCTCCCCCGCCCATTCCCGCACTCCGCTTCCATGCATGCAAGCCTCGCTCCATTCATGCTGCCGAGCCGGGCGGCAGTGAAACCGAACGGAGAGCCGACGACAACAGGGTCCCCCAGCAGGAGCCAAAGCTATGAGGTGAGCATGCTGAAAACGCAGCCCTCGCACCCTTCTGCGGTGCAGCATCTTGAATATTGCTGACCGCGGCCAAAGAAGGGTCCTTTCCATCCGTGTTCGCCCCTCCCCGCCCCAATAACCGCTTACTTTGCCATTTACAAACGCAGCCGCCCCCCTCCGACCTCCGCCCCTCGCCCCCGCCCATTCCCGCGCTTCCCTTCCATGCATGCAAGCATCCCCACACACCGCTGCCGAGCCGGACCGCTGTGGAACCAACGGAGCGAAGCCGACCACCGGTCCCCAACGAAGAACCCCAGCTCTGAGGTGAGCATGCTGATGCCGCAACCCTCGCACCCTTCTGCGGTGCAGCATCATGTTTATAGCTGGCCGCGGCCGAGGGAGGGTCCTAACCATCAGTATGCGCCCCTCCCCGCCCCAGCACGCACTTACTTGGCCTTTTAGAAACGCTGCCGCCCCCCTCCGGCCTCCGCCCCTTTCCCCCACCCATTCCTGCGCTTCCCCTCCATGCATGCAAGCATCCCCGCACGCCGCTGCCGAGCCTGCTCTGGCCTGTGACTGACCTGATGGATTAGACAGCGGCCATGGGATAGTCCGCACCCCAGCGGCCATAGATGGCCAAGCCAACGATCGATAGGGCGGCACAACACGGTAGGCCCTTGCCAGATAAATTATGTGTACTGTATTGTAGCTACTATGACCCCCCTAATGGCAGCAGCACCGTCAACACACTACGGCTTAGCCACGAAGACGCCACCGTCATCCGTCTACAGCGACAGGAGGTGACAGGGGCAGGCATGCATGTCATTGCCGCATCCTCACCCACTCGCGTGATCACGCAGCTACACTTGCTGCATTAATGATCATCCTGCTGGGCAAGGGTAACGAAATAAAACGCCACCTTCCCATCCATTGCCCACACCCTTCATGGTGATTTGGGTACGGCTCTGAAAAGGTATGCCGCCGTGCGAGGATGGGAATCTCGGATACCTTTCCGCTGATATGCGGTACAGCTGAAGTAAGTAAGGCTGCTATCTGCCATGAGTCCGGAACGGCAGCAGGCATCTGGGTGTTGTGGGCGCTTTGTTGAGGAGGTCAGCTTGCGGTTGAAGGTGTCACCTTAGCTTTGATGCTGTATAGATTGGGAGTGACATGCGTGCGGTCTCATGTCCTATCGTTGGAAGCTGTGTTGATTGGCAGGTGCACACACGCACGCGCTACCACTAAATAACCTTTACAGAAGCCACTCCACCCATTGAGCTGCTGGGGGAGGGGGTGCTTACTTCTTGTGGCGCGCCCGGCACGCTGGTAACATTCTCACATCTTTCACGGGTGGGGAAGTACTTAATTGTTAGTTCGGTGTTCCTCTGTACATCGGGGTACACATCCCCAGGAGGGTTGAATTGTTGCCGCCTGTGCACCTGTAGCTTGAACATGATGTGAATGATGAACACTAAAACTGACTCCTCGCCGCCCGCTGGCTCGTTCACAGCGTCAAGACCAGGTTGGTTCACCCTTAGCCATGGTTTGCAATTGCAATGGGCCTTCCTGGGGCCTCAAAAGGGGGTGCCGTACAGGGCTTAGGGGGCCCATTCATGTTCTGGTGAATTCCATTCACAACGCAGACTTTTCTAGAGTGAAGGAACGAACGTTAGAAAAGGCTGGTTCTTGGTGGAATGAATATAACGACTTTAGTTGTACGGCATAAATGCCTCCTTCTTATTGGCAGCTTGCCCTTGTTTTTGGCATCTGCCTTTGTAGTAGCATCATCGAGTGTTTGTTAGGCCCTTCTGCCAGGGCTGTTAGGTGTAGTTTACATATTACAAGTTCGGCTTAAATCTAATTAGGAATCAGCAGAACCTCGCCTCGCACAGATGGCGGACCCGAATCCGCAAAACGCTCCTGCTCAACCAGTACAGCAGCCATTGCCAGCAGTGCCACCTGCGGCGGCACCTGCGGCGGCAGCCGCGGCGGCTCCAGCGGTCGCCGGCGCAGCCGAGGAGGTGCAACTGCGCCTTAACCAGCTGAGGCGCCAAGGCATCAGGCAGCTGAACATGCACGACAACATCTTTCAGAAGTCCAGCAGGCTCGAGAGTGCATGCCCTGACCTGCTGCGGTTCCTGTTCGACCGGATGCGGGACATCTTCGTCAAGGTGACGACCGCGTCGGACCTGCTGGAGCACGTCAAAGACCTGCATGAGGACATCCAGGCAGCGCTGGAGGATTTGGCCTTTGTTGTGCGGTCGCTGCAGGGCTTTAAGGCGGCGTTTGACGGTGCGGGCAAGTGCAAGCAGCACCACTTCGATATGTTCGAGGCCCTGTACGAGGCTGTAAGCAGCCTCGTCGCCAACCCGTCAGAGGACATCCTCAGCGGCAAGGAGCGGCTGTATGACCTGAAGCACAAGACGTTCGCAGCAGCCGCAACGCAGATTAACCAGATTAAGGGTTCCCACCCCCTGTCGGAGAAGAAGGCGGAGGCCAGCACCTCCGGCCGGCAGCCCAAGCAGCAGTACAACAACAACAAGCCCTTCCACTTCAACCCGTACCCCCCCAACCAGGGCCCGCCGCGGTTCCAGGGCCAGGGCCGCGGACGCGCCCCGCACTACTGAGGAGTTAGCTCAGCTAGGGTTAGCGGGAAGCAATGGAGTGGGATAGGGGCAGTTACAACCATACCGCGAGTAGGCGAATAGGAGGAGGAGAATACGCGGTGGGGCTGATTACCCTGGATTTTGTGGCTAAAGGCCTTGAGAAATGGGCTGATTACCCAGTCGGTCAGTAGCGACCTTGAGATGGGGCTGATTACCCCGGGATGCGATATGAGGCTGATTACCTCGAGTTGACAATGGGGATTAGTACCATCGAATCGGAGTCAGGGCTGATTACCCGACCGATTGACACAATTGCTTAATAGAGCGGGAGGCTCTAGCGAACGCAAGACACTCAGATTATGTGTAAGCAACCGGCTGGGATTGTGCGCAAGTCGTACTCGGTGGCAAGCAGACGATTCGCAGTAAACAGCTTCCAATGATCCAGTTTCAATAACTCCTAGCTTATTGGCGCATTATTGCTAGTAGCATTATAGCGGCAATAAAAATGAGGGAGAAATTCCTGCCTCCGTTCATTTTGCAGCCGAAGCAGCAAGCAAATACCGACAACACGAATAGGAACGATAGTGCCTTATCGCGACCTACGTATAGGAGCGGGCAGCAGCGACTAGCGAGATTCGGCCCGCCGCTGGGCTTAGTATCGGCTTCGGCATCAACATCATCGGCGGCGCCGGTCGCGGCCAAGGCTTCAGGCACGACAACAACAATAAATGTTGCAGCAGCAGCGGCGGGCTCGGTGGTCATACCGCCAGTACCGAGGAGCGGAGCACCCATTACGTCTGGAAATTCGCAAGTGGAGGCACGCTTGGCTGCCAGCGACAATGCGCCAGAGCTGGCAGGTGTGGCCGAAGTAGAGGAATTGCCAGACGGGTCATGGGAATATGAATCCAGCAGCGGGAAGACAAGCGCTAAGAAGCCGGCGATGCATGGGCGCTTGCGCAAGAACAAAGAGTTCTGGCTATCCACCTGCCGGTCCTCGTTGGTGACGAAGTTCATTTTATTCGGTTTCCCTTTACTCTTTCTGGGGGCGCCACCAGCGGCACGGTTATTCAATAACCTCCCTTCAGCGGTCCGGTACAAGGAGTTTGTCACTGAGGCAATAGCGGATTTGGTGGCATCCCGGACAGTACTACCTGTTAGGGAACAACCGCATTGCGTGCTACCGCTGGGTGTGGTGCCGAAACCGGGCACGGGTAAGCTTCGGCTTATCCTGGATGCGCGGTATGTGAATGAGCACCTTCACGTACCGTCGTTCAAATACGAGGGCTTGGGGGGTTTGTCGTCGGTGCTAGAACCAGAAGATTTTTTGTTCACATTGGATCTAAAAAATGGATACCATCATGTGGACATGCACGAGGACTCGTGGAAGTATTTGGGTTTCCAGTGGGAAGGTCAGTTCTATGTCTTCACCCAGCTACCGTTCGGGCTAGCACCTGCATGTTGGGTATTCACGAAGATCACGCGAGAGCTAATCGGATCGTGGCGTGCTAAAGGGCACAGGGTTTCTGGTTACATTGATGATAGCATCCATGCGCATCAGGATATGGCCACACTAATAGAATGGCGAGAACTGGTGCTGGGAGATTTGCAACGAGCAGGTTTTATCGTCAACATGGAAAAGAGCGGTTTAGTACCGAGTAAGGAGGTGAAATATTTAGGGGCAATGGTTAACACGGCTGCAGGGACACTGACGGTACCGGCAGTTAAACGGGAACGCCTGTTTAATGCGATAGATAGAGCGCTGGAACAAAAGGACGCATGCAAAGTGCGGGATATAGCCTCAATTACGGGGCAAATCATGGCCATGAGTTTCTCGTTTGGCGATATGTCCGTCCTAATGACGAGGCAGTTGGTACATTGGCAAACGGTTGTAGTACAGCAAGGCAGCAGGTTGGATGATAGGGCGGTACTAGCCCCAGAAGCCGCAAGAGAGCTAGAATTTTGGAAAGGCGCTTTTCCGCGTTTCGACGGCCGCAAACCAATTTGGCTGCCGTCTTTTATCCATACGGTGAAGGTTTTTACAGATGCTGCCGGTGCTGGGGGCTGGTCGTACGGTGGTTGGGGCGGCTGGGCCCAAGACAGGGGTCAACGCCTGATTGCATCGGGGAGATGGCAATTTGATACACGGGGCACGTCTTCATCGGTATTAGAATTGAGGGCTAGCCTCAATGTGATTAAAAGCATTAATAAAGAAGGCAACCTAAGGGGTCAGAGAGTGCTGCTGCACACTGACAGCCAAGTTGCGGATGCGGTGCTCAAAAAAGGAGGGTCGACTAAATTAGACCTCCAGGAAGCGTGTTACCAAATGTTCTGGTATTGCCTTGAAGAGCATATTCATTTGATTTCGACGTGGATCCCACGTGAATTGAATGCGTTCGCCGATGCACTGTCTAAGCGGGAAGAATCTTGTGACTGGATGCTGAACCCACGTGTTTTTCAACAGTTAGCGCAGAAGTGGGGCCCGTTCGCAATTGATTTGTTTGCGTCGCATACCAATCACCAGATGATACCTTATTTTTCTTGGTTTCATACACCCACTTGTGCGGGGGTGAACGCTTTTGCGTTTGACTGGCCAAGTACGTCATGGTGCAATCCACCGTTCGCTCTAATGGGGCGAGTTTTAGCACATGCCCTGCGGTGCCGTACACGCATGGCGCTAGTGGCACCTTTTTGGCCGGGGGCAGCATGGTGGCCGTTACTGGTGGAGAATGAGTACGCGTTTAAAGGTTTCGTGTGGGATTGCATAGTATTACCGCAGGAGGCGGATCTATTTTTTGGGGGAGCGTCAGGTAACACGAAACCAGTGTTCACACCCAACTGGCACACCATCGCGTTATTGTTGGATTTTTCTACGGAATGCCGGCATGTCGTACAAATCCCTGACTTGTAATCCTAATTGCAATATATCCCGACAGTGTACTCGGAGGTCATGGAGGTACTCGGGAGCCAGCTGGGTAGCAGTCTCATGGAGAAGCCGCTTATTAAGGAGTTACTTGCAACGGTCGTACGCTGCGTACAAGCATCGAAAGCAGGCAGCACGTGGAAGGCCTACGCACCATGGATGCGCAGTTTCTGCGACTTTGCGGTAGAGATCGGCGTAAAGCCCTTGGACTTTAACGAGACGCAAATTTCACTCTACCTAGGTGGGGTTTATGCCAGCGCAGAACGGGATAAAGTGGGACCGCAACGGGTGGAAACAGCTAGCGCAGCAGTGTCAGCTCTGTTCGAGCTGGCAGGCAAGCCGTCCCCGTGCAGCGGCAAGCTGTGCGCGGGAGTACGAGAAGCGGCACGACG